TGTTCTGGGGGGACCCAGTGCAGAATGTAAGTGGGCCCACCCGGTGGGACTCCTGTGGGGCAGGGAGCTGGGCCCAACATGGCCCCAGCCTCTGCCTTTGCACCACGGGACATCACAGGGTGGGCCTCAACCCCTCCCACACCCAAAGCTGAGCCTGCAGGGAAGCCCCACGTGTCGAGCACCTTGTTCCTGGGGGTGTTAGTGGCACTGCCCCCCGACCTCCAGGCTTTCCCAGTTCCCACCCTGCCCCTCAGAGACTGAAATTACGGGTACCTGAAGATGGGAGCCTCTACCTTTTATCCAAAAGGTTTATTCCAGAAACGAGTGTACATTTCTATAAATAGATGCTGTGTATATGGTATATATACATACATATATATAAAATATATGGAAGAGGAAAAGACTGGTACAACGGAGGCCTGCGACCCTGGGGGCACAGGAGGCAGGCGTGGCCCTGGGCGGGGAGGGAGGCCCCAGGGGTCTCACCCATGCAAGCAGAGGAGCAGGGCCTTTTCTGGCACTGCGGTTTTGTTTTAAAACTGGACCTGTATATTTGTAAAGCTATTTATGGGCCCCCGGCACCCTCGTTCCCACAGCCCAACACTTCTAGCATTTAGCCAGCCACATGGCGGAGAGTTTTAATTTTTAACTTATTAACAGCCGAGAAGGTTTATCCTGCCTGTAGAGGGACAGCCAAGAATGTACGTCCAGCCTGCCCCGGAGCTGGAGGATTCCCTCCAAGCCTAAAAGGTCGTTAATAGTTGGAGGTGATTCCAGTGAGTAAGGATATTTTATTTCCTTTGTCCTTCTTTTTCAGGAGAAGTAGATTTCTATAGGACTTTTCTTTAGGAGATTTATATTTTGGACTTCAAAGCAAGCTGGTATTTTCATACAAATTCTTCTAATTGCTGTGTGTCCCAGGCGGGGCGATGGTTTCCAGGGAGGGGCCGGCCCTGCGTGCAGGTTCAGATGTTATTAGATGTTACAAGTTTATACATATCTATATATATAATTTATTGAGTTTTTACAAGATGTATTTGCTGTAGACTTAACACTTCTTACGCAATGCTTCTAGAGTTTTATAGCCTGGACTGCTACCTTTCAAAGCTTGGAGGGAAGCTGTGAATTCAGTTGGTTGGTTCTGTACTGTTACTGGGCACTGAGTCTGGGCAGCTGTCCCTTGCTTGCCTGCAGGGCATGGCTCAGGGTGGTCTCTTCTTGAGACCCAGTGCATGGTGGCCAGAGGTGTCACCCAAACCTGCAGGTGCGATTTTGTTAACCCAGCGACGAACTTTGCAAAAAATAAAGACACCTGGTTCCTAACCTGGCTCTGAGGTTTCTGCCTCCCGTTCTTCTGGGATAGGGGAGGGAGGGGTCACTGGCTGCTGGGTGGTCCCAGGTGGATGCTGGCAGCAGCACCGAAGGTCCCTGGTGGTCTGGGAGCCCCAAGGGCGAGGAGACTACGGGAGGGCCCTGGTGGGAGGGAGCAGGGTGCCTGGGGGTGCACTGCCCTGGCTGCTCCCAGCTCGTGGGTTCCTGAGGTGGTGGTGGTGGGGAGGGTCCTGTCCCACTAGCTGTGAGGCAGACCTTCCCTCATCACCCCACCCCTGGCATCCGCCTTCCCAGTCAACTGGGGAGCTTTCTGGGCGTCCCCCCCATGGAGCCAAAAGTAAGCAAAACCCTCTTGGGGCCCTGGGGGGCTACACAGGTGGCCACTCTCTGGGTCAGCCTCTGCCCTCCCAGGCTGGGCAACCAGTGCCCCCACTGCCTTGGGCTCCATCAGGGTCCCCCACAGTGACACAGCACCTTTGGGCAGATGAGGTGCTGATGGGGGTGCTGAGAACCCAGAGATGGAACCGGGCCCTTGCCCAAGTTCATAGCCCTAGCAGGGTGGGAGGACAGCCTGGTGAGAGCAAGTCTGGGAAGGCTTCCTGGAGGAGGAGTGCCATCTCCTGACTCCCCACCACCCTCTGTGTTGTCCTCCCCTCCGCTCTCCCCATCTGTGCTGTCCCCACCTCTGCCGCTCTCCCTCTGCTCTCCTCCCCCATCCCCTCTGTCCTCCCCACCTCCCTCTGTCCTCTCTGCCATCCTCCCTCTTCTCTGCTGTCCTCCCCGCTGCTCTTGTCCCTCCTGCCATCCTCCTCGTCTCTCCTCCCCTCTGCTGGCTTGGGAGCAGGGTTTCCCAACCATGAGCTGCATGAACTTTCACTCTATACTCTGGCTCCAAACTCACCTTTCAGGTCAGGGGGCGTTCCTGGCCCCCGTTTCCTGGGCAGGCAAGGGTTTAACTCAACCCCATTCAGGGAAGCACATGTGGGCGCAGGCCTGGTGGAAGCAGCACAGTGACCTCACAAGGGGCTTTCCCTAATGCCCACACCTGCCCAGAAACCCCATGCTGGGCCCGGAGGCAGGCCTGACGATGGGACGCCAGATGACAGTGGCAGGATGGGGAGGCCTACATGGGCCTGAAGGTCACAGGCTGAGGCCTGCAGGGTAGTGGGGCGACCAGGCCAACAGGCAGGCAGTGACAGCAGCCACACCAGGCCGGCAGAGCATGGGGCTCGGAGCGCAGGCCGGGGGCGCCACCTAGCGCTGGCTGGCAGTGTCCCTGTTACAACTTAAGGCACTTCTCCAGTCAGGGCCCTGGTGGACCTCTGGTGGGCATAGTGGGACCCTGAATGGGTGCTGGGGACCAAAAGGCTGGGCCACCGGGAGAACAGTGGCCCATGAAGGTGCTGGTGGGCCAGTCTCCTCCTCCTCAGAGCGCTTCCTTAGAGAACCCAGATGGCAGGGCATAGTCCTCAAAGCTGCCCCACCAGGGGCTCCCCAGCTGCCTCCCCCTGTCCCATAAGAAGGGGAGCCCATGAGAGACCCCAGCTGTCAGCACAGCTGAACCTCCACCATCAGGGTACCCTCTAGTGGCTGGGCATGCTCTAGGCTGGCAGGGTCCCCGCCCTTGCCGTCTGCTGATGGCTTTCTGAGGGGGACGTGTCTCATGGGAGGCCCGGCTTCCAGGACACAACTCGTGGCTCCTGGGGTCACCAAGGGCACCGGGTTTGTTCATAGCTCTTGGGGTTGCTGTCCCCATGAATGAGCACCTCCCACCCCAGCTGTGGGTCCATCATTTCCTCTGATCAATAAGGGCCTAAGGGTCAAGGGAGGCCCTGAGGGAGGACCCTCAGTGTGAACAAACCAGCAGCCAGGGCCACAGAGAAGCCCGTGAGGCACCCACAGGGCCTGGTCCCAGTGTGGGCAGAGCCACCTAAGGGATGGCTTCTGTCTACCGAGAAGGGTTGGAAGCCAAGACGCCACACTGCTACCCTGGCACTGGAACCATCCACGCACTCCTGCAGCCGGGCCACGCTGAGGCAGGTAGGCATCCAGAGGTCCGGACGGGGGGCTGCCCTCCATGCCCCCAGGCCATCACACGTCCCTCAGGGTGTCTGGGCCCTGCCTGTGGGCTAGACTGCAGGCTGAAGGCCCTGCCTCGTCCAGGACTCCTTAGGGCAGTACTTGGCGCCCTTTCCCCTCAGCTGCCTGAGGAGTCTTTCGGAAGAGCTGGCCCTCCTGGGTGACACCTCGGCCAGGGTCCCAGCCGCTAACCCCAGTACTCCTAAGAAGACACTGAGGTCCCCAGAGCAGGGAGAGCATGACCAGCTGACAGGGCCACTGGCCTGGAGAATGTCCCACACTGTTCCATGAGCAGCTCACACTGTCACAGGACCTGGGAACGTGGGCCTCCTGACCCTGCAGACCATCCTGCAGAGCAGGAAGCGTGAAGCCAAAGGCTAAACCCATGGAGGGCGGCCCAGCACTCAAAACCCCAGGGATGGAACTGGCCTCGCAGCCACGCACACCCCAAGGCCCAGCCCCTGCAGCCACGTGGACAGCACTGCCGGCTTCCACTAGCTCCTGTGTGCCCAACGGTTCAGAAATATTATTACTCTGCACTGTTACAGGAACAGATTTGATGTTTTAATAAAAATACGAGTTCTACAAAAGGTGCTTAACACGGCCCAGGACGGGCTCTCCGGTGGTCAGCCCTAGGACCCCTGAAGGACACACAAAGACAAAGCCGGCTCGCCAGCACGCTCCTGCCAGCACCGGGACCCACTGGGAGCCACTGCAGGTTGTCCTTCATTAAAAAAAAAAGTCTGGATTGTGACATTCCAAAAGGAGTCTGGAAGCTGTATGCCCAATTCCTGAATCCCTACGCTAGAACTGAGAGTTTAGGCTGGGCGCGGTGGCTTACGCCTGTAATCCCAGCACTTTGGGAGGCTGAGACGGGTGGCTCACCTGAGGTCAGGAGTTCGAGACCAGCCTGACCAACATGATGAAACTCCGTCTCTTAATAAAAACACGCCCGTAATCCCAGTACTTTGGAGGCCAAAGGTGAGCGGATCACGAGGTCAGGAGATGGAGACCATCCTGGCTAACATGGTGAAACCCCGTCTCTACTAAAAATACAAAAAAATATTAGCCGGGTGTGCTGGTGGGCGCCTGTAGTCCCAGCTACTCGGGAGGCTGAGGCAGGAGAATGGCGTGAACCCGGAGGGAGGCGGAGCTTGCAGTGAGCTGAATCCTGCCACTGCAACTCCAGTCTGGGAGATAGAGTGAGACCTGTCTCAAAAAAAAAAAAAAAAAAAAAGGCAGCATGGTGGCGGTATCTGTAATCCAGCTACTCAGGAGCTGGGCAAGGAGAATTGCTTTGAACCCAGAGGAGGCTGAGGTTGCAGTGAGCCAAGATCGCACCTACTCGCATCCAGCCCTGGGTGACAGAGCCAAGGTACTATTCCTCAAAAAAAAAAAAAAAAAAAAAAAAAGAAGTGAGTGTTTAGCTGGAGTGAGGAGGAAATACTGAATTCCCAGGTCAGGAATTCCAGTTCCATTTTCACCAGGCACAGATATCCCAGCTCCTGAAAAAGGCCAAGACTGACGGTCTGGCACTGGGCAGGTGTAAGAAAGGACTGTTTTAAGAACCTTATTACACAAAGCTCTTACTTCTGGATCCACCACTGCTTACATTTGCACCCGGACACCACTTTGAGGTGCAAGAAGAAAGGTCAGGACATAGAGAAAAATGCACACAGAACGATGAGAGAGGATGATGAGGGAGCAAGCCTGCATCAGAGCACAGCTGATGTCTTGGAAGCCACCAAAGGCACCCACCAGAGCCTTCCCCACCTGCCAAGCCCCTGCAGCACCCGGAGGGCAAGCCGGCTTCCTGAGGCCATGCGGAGTCCAGGGCAGAGGGGACAGTGGGAGGGGCTGCCTGTGGCAGTGGCTGTTCACATCAACAGCACTCAGCCGAGGCAGTGAGGATGAGGACGAGAGCCGGGGCAGCTGACTGGGCCCAGGACACAGCTCACAGGAGGGGCGTCTGCACACACCTTGCAACTGCAAGGCTTCTTCTCAAAGGCAAGTACACTTGGACAAACCAACACGAGGCTACTTACACAGGGTGAGAGAGTTCATAAATATTAATTAAGGATCTAAAACAAACTTCTTTCTCAAATAATTGAAATCTGAAAGCTTTTGGAAGCCAACTGTCCCTGAACAAAGTTTTACAATCGAGAAGTATCTCCTGTTCCTATTTTGTCAAGTTTCTTTGATGGCCGAACAAAAAGAAGCTTCAAGTAATGGAGAAGGCATCATCTGAGTGCAGCTGCTTTCCTGGCTGCCTGTGCCGTTCCTGTCTTCCAAACCCTATGCTTGGAGGCCCCCGGAGGGACATTTTTGCCAGGAACCAACCTGACGTTAAAAAGATGAGTGTGACACAGCTGGCTGGGCAGGAGGGTGGAGGTGGCCACAGGAGTCTGCCCATGCCCTGGCCAGCCCGACCATGCTGCCGAGTGCTGAGAGGCCGCCCCACTCAGAGGGCACAGGGCAAACCCTAAGCACTAAGAGTTTTGCCCGTGAAGCCTCAGGGGATGCCCTGTGCCGCATCCTTGTGCCTCGTTGACCAGCCTGCTTGCTAAAGGAGCCCAGGGACCTGAGCCTGCAACACCGTGAGGGGTGAGAAGAGCATGCTGCTGTGGGTGCACCGGATTCAAACCTCACATCAGAAGTTACAAAGAACCCCGAATGCGCTTCAGAGTTCCGCCAACCCCTGAGCCAGGCTCATCCCTGACACAGCGAACCCACTGCAGCCCCCGTGGCGCACACCCCAAGCACCACCCAAGGGAGCCCCATGGCCAGGGCTGTGTCAGTCATGCCGCTTGGGGCAGAGACGGCTCTTGGGGCAGGCAGACCGGTGTGGGAAAATTCTATGCCAATCAACTGCTTAAAGAATTGGGGAAAATAGAAAGTCAAAAAAGGGCTCCGATACACAAGGGAAACCGCATGTGAGAACCGGCACTCCCAGCAGGGAGATGTCACTCTCCAGAGGCCATGGAGATGGCAGACACCTCTGTCTCCACAGTGACCCAGATCCAACTGAAAGTGTGCAGGAAGCCACGTCTATTGACGCTGAAATCCAGAAACCAAGGTCCACAGGTGAATGGAGGCATCTTCAGCCCTGAGGAGGCCAGGCTGTGTCTCCTGATGCCTCTGAGGGTGGGCACAGCAGCCAGCTCCCTGTGGGCAGAGTCCACGTGGTCCTTATTCCCCTCCCTGGGGACAGGGCAGCACAGTCAGACGCTGAGACGTGAGGCCACACGCAGGGGGGCACCTTCCTGCCTTGGCCTAGCCCGACCGCCTCTGGAGTCAGGAGGCCGTGGCAGCCACACCACAGTGTGGCTCCAGACACGATTCTGTGGACGGATTCCAGGATTCCAAACAGATTAAATCTCCGTGGAATGATGAAAATTAAAATTTACTTGATTATGGAAGTCTCTGATTTATTCCAGCCAAAATATTAAATGAGCCACTAAGAATCACCACAAAGCAATCGCCAGAGTGGCGGCACAGCAGAAGGACAGGTGCCCAGGCCGGTGGCTCTAGCTCTTCACCTCTGCGACCTCCTTCTCTGCCTTCTCTTTGGCCTTCTCCTTCTCCTCCACCTTCTCCTCTTTTTCCAGTGTTGCTACAATCTCGGCCACCTGGCTGGTGGAGATGTGAACATCTTCTTTGTCCACCAGCTCAATCACCTACACACATGGGAAAGGGAGAGGCTCAAGTGGCTGCACCCTGCAGCACAGTGAGGCGGGGCGGGTGGCAGCAGCATGCATGCAACCGCTGCCTGTGGGCCCCGGGGTCCTCAGAGCACCAGTTCCCCCAAGGGGGGCCACAGGTCCTGGGGAAGGGGCTCAGAGAGTGGGAGGACAAAGGAGCCAGGGGGCTGCCTTGGCAGGTGGCAGATAGCACAATGGGGCTGCCAGGGTTCAGTTCCTGCTCTGGTCGGGAACCTGGGCCATGGCTTCTCAGGGCAGAGTATGGTGACATGCAGGGACTTTGTCCCCATTCTGCCACCCAGAGCAGCAGGGAAGGGAAGGGCAGCTGTGCAGTAGATATCGGATCCTTGCTTCCAAACTGAACTGCAAGGAACCAGCCAATGTTCCTGATAGACGTTTAGAAAATCACTAACCTGAACCAGCCAACGCTTGTGATAGATGTCTGGAAAATCACCAACCTGACACATGCACTGGGAGCCACGAGGCAGCTTCCCCTCAGAGACGTCAGTGATTGGGAAAACTGGCGTCCGCACTCAGGCTACAGCCCTGCCTTCCCTCCAGAGACTGGATCTTGGGCCAGGGTCTCCCGGGTTACCCTGGAACCTGAGTGGCTGCACTTGGGAGCTCAGCCCAGCAGTCACCTCTCAGCCTCGGTGGCCCCTGGCAGGTGTGAGCTGCCCCCCGGCTCCCGAATGCAGATGCCTCTCAGCCTCGGGTGTCCCCGACTTCCCTATGCAGACACCTCAGCCTCAGAGGTCCTTGGCTACCCTATGCAGATGCCTCTCAGCCTCGTGGGACCCCAGCAGGTGTGAGCCGCCCCCCAGCTCCCAGTGCAGACACCTCTCAGCCTTGGGGGACCCTGGCGGCTATGAGCCGCCACCCGGTTCCCTGTGCAGTTGCCTCTCAGCTTCAGGGGCCCCTGAGAGGTGTTTGCCGCCCCCCGGCCCCCACTGTGCCACCAGCTGGGGGTGGGGTCCAGGGAGGCGCATTGTGGTCACTCGGCGCGTTTGTTGTCTCAACGCTTGAGTTTGTAACTTCAGTAATTTCTCACTTCTGATGTTTCCAATGAGAGCAGTGGCTTAAAGGAGCAGTCGCAGCGACAGACCCAAACCCGACAGGAAGGGGTAGCTGCCCAGGAGGGTGCCGGGCATGCAATGAACAGTCCCCCTGCCCCTCCCCACCCCAGAGCAGGTGGCAGCTGGCCCGCGCGGTCCGCAGTGAGGCCCACCTTGACAAGGTCGTCGATGTTGACCTTGCCGTCCTTGTTTTCATCCAATGCTGCAGCCAGGCTGGTGAGCTTGCTTTCAGGAATGTGCTTGACTTGCTTCATGGCACTGATGAGCTCGGTGACACTGATGACATTCTCCCTGTGGGAGCATAGCCTGCATGTGGCCACGGGCAGGTGTCCTGCTACACGGGGCCTCCCTGCCCACACCTGTGGCTGCAAGTGGTCAGCACTGACACAGGCAGCTCCACGTGAGCCAGGAAACCCCCAAGGTATGATCCCATCCTGAATACACTGCCAAGAGCTCCCAGAGCCAGCCTGGACACAAACACAGAAACACCACCGGGTCCAGGGTTTCCACGGGCATGTCTGCCCCTCAGTGGCCACCCCTCCGGGGCCATGGCTGCTGGGCAGTGGTCCTCAGGCCTGTGGCCACTTGGCAATACTTTCATGATCATGGAGGCTGTGGTGCTCTAGGCAGATGAGGGCCTCCAAGAGCAGGGACAAGAGCATGAGCAGGGTGCCACAGGCAGCCTGCCTATAACGCTGTGGGGGTGGGGGTGGAGATTTGGAGCCTGCAGGGCACCAGCTGTTGCCCAACAGCTGTTTCATTCGCCCAGAAGGGACTCACACAACGGCAGCTCCCTCAGCCACTGCTGCAGCAATCTGGGACATGTCGGGCAAAGAGAAGGCCGACTGCCGGAATTGGTGTCATTACTGAGTGTGGGTGGGGTCAGGAAGAGGGAGAGGCAAGAGAGAGCCTGGTAATTCGAGGAAACAGAAGCCAAGAGAGGCGGAGGCTGGAACAGGAGGGGAGAGGGCTGTGGGAAGAGGAAGAGGGGCCAGGAAGGGAGGAACTGCTCTCAGAGAGGCAGAGACTGAGATGCCAGTGGGTCCCTGGCTGGGACTGCTGGGTCAGAGGAGGAGAGGCAGCTAGGCAGAGGCCAAGATGTGCCCTTTGGAGCCAGAAGGGCCCAGCTTGGATCCAGCAACGGGACCAGGCATCCTGCGTGAGTCTCCCATCCCTCTCCCACGCCCGCCACCTCACTCACCCCGTGGGCATGCCGCTGGCTGGGGCCAGCTTGCCAGCTTGCTGGTCCATCTCCAGCTGCGAGATCAAGCCGTCAATCTGCCCGATCATCTGCTGCACCCTTTTTGTCAGTCTCTTGCTGGCTTTAGATTCTTCCACGTATTTTTCTTCACCAGTCTTTGAAAGCTCCTTCTTGATCTCCTGCAAGTCCTAATAAAATTATTTTAGTTGTAAAAAGTTTGTCTTAAAAGAAAAAGGGGGCCAGGTGCAGTGGCTCACGCCTGTAATCCCAGTACTTTGGGAGGCCAAGGCGGGCAGATCACCTGAGGTCAGGAGTTCGAGACCAGCCTGGCCAATGTGGTGAAACCCCGTCTCTACTAAAAATACAAAAATTAGCTGGGCATTGTGGCAGGCGCCTGTAATCCCACTTACTCGGGAGGCTGAGGCAGGAGAATCGCTTGAAGCCAGGAGGCAGAGGCTGCAGTGAGCTAAGACCATGCCAACGCACTCCAGCCTGGGCAACAGAGCGAGACTCTGTCTCAGAAAAAAAAAAAAAAAAAAAGAAAGAAAGAAAAAAGGAAAAGAGATCTGGTTGGGCACAGGTGGTCCATTGGCTGTAATCCCAGCACTTTTGGGAGGCCAAGGCAGCGAGGATCACCTTGAGGACAGGAGGTTCGAAACCAGCCCAGGCAACATAGCGAGACCTTATCTCTACTAAAATTCAAACAAAAATTAGCCAGGTGTGGTGGTACAACAGCATGG